GCCGTTTCTCGGAGTCCTTCAACATTCCAAGTCGCGAATTGTAACTGAAATCCTGTGGGAACAGGAACTGCAGCTGGTTTATTAACAAAACGAAGTTGATTGTAACCTTGGGAGAATCTGCGGGATTGGGAAGCGAGTCTCTTCTGTGCTGCTGGCTTTGGTCTCATCAGGGGATTAGGATTGTGGCCTCCGTGTGTCCGCAGGGAGGTATCCTTGCACGCGGAAATCCCTTCGAGCTTCTTGTTGTTTAGATTTCCATGAGGATAGTCTACGTTGCTAAGAGGATTGTTTTCTATGTCCTCTAGAAGTTCCCCTGAGAGCGCGTCGATCTTGGTAGCCGCATGGGACCGAATGTATCTGAGCTGTCTGTGATACTGGAAAATCATCCATAAGGTAAATGTCGTCGCTGTCGTCAATATCGTACATGTCGTCATGACCCTGCGGGTCATCATAATGTAAATCGTCCATAAAGTAAATCGGTGGGTGCTGCCCTTGGACCGGAGCTGGGTCTCTTTGGGCATCACACTTCCATGATTTTCCATAGGCATGGAGGTACGTCCAGCGGCTTCCCAGCCCGCCCCCTCTGGAGGCGACCGACCGTAGCATGATCCCATATAATCTAGTAGAGGTAGACCTATCTGTATCAATCTCATAGGTGGAACCTCTTCTAAAGTATTTCATCCAGAGCTTATCTCTGCCATAGAATGTGAAAAGTCAAAAACAATCATACCATTGGGTATGGTAAAAAAGTTCTTCCATAAAGTAGATCTAAACTTTGGGGTGTGGACTTCAAAGCAAACATAATTACCATTGAGGGAATGGATGAGTTGGTTTAAACTCTTACAAGCAAAACCTGAAAATTTCATTCGCTGCTGAATGCAATTCGGCTGACTAAGGCTAAACAGATCTCTGCAAAAACTGGCCTTGGGGTTTCTACCTAATAGGAAAGAGTTGCAAGATCTGTGGATGGCTCTCACTTGTCTGGGTGAAAAACTAGTTTCTGCCTCTACTGAAACTACTGAGTCTAACCTATGCGCGGCTTTGTACACACTGTATGTACATGGGGCAAAGCCCAACAGAGTCTTCGATGAAGGTGAGAAGCTTAATTCAAAGGACGTGCATAACGTAAATCTGGCGGTGAAGGGCAGTGCCCAAGCACCTAACGTAAATCTTTCCATTGGTAAATCGTGTCTGGAAAAAGGAGGTTTCCAGGTGTTGGAGCATTCCATAGTTTCCAGATGACACAAGGTAAATCGTGTGATGCTTAGACCCAGAGGTCCAGAGGCATCTAACGTAAATCTTTCCATTGGTAAATCTGCAATGGGACCATCTCTGTCCCAAAAGGAGCTTAGAATAGCTGGGAGTGAAGCCGGGCTTGATGTGTCAGCTATCGATATCCACCTGGGTCAGCCATTGACATAGGGGTTTACAAAGGAGTAGGATTGGCCCTTATAGGACAATTGGATGCAAATCCAGGCCATCATCCATACAAGGGAGCGAAAGCCATGCTCTGCCAAAATTAAGGAGGGGGATTCAAGACTATTTCCCTTATTATTCCAGTGTCTACCGAGGTACTTTTCTCTATGTTCATAGCGGGGGCTATCTGGGGAGATGGAGTGCATAACCTGATCATAAATTTCTACAAATGCATCATTTAGAGCTACAAGGTTTTGTTTGGTAGTGGTCTGGATCTTAAGAAGGGTGGCTAGTTGTGCATAGACTTGGTCGAAAAAATAAGAACCTGCTGAGGCTAGCTTCTTGAGAGGAGCATTGGTGAATGGGGCAAGGCCCCCAAAGATGTCAGTAAAGAGTGGAGTACAATGAAGGATTTCTACAAAACTGTCTGTAAATTGCTGAAGATATGTCTGGTCCTGGGCTGGGAGTAGATTGTTGAGGAGGGATTCAATGGCTGGGATGTCCCAAACAGGTGTGATTTGAAAATAATCTAAGGCCATAAAATAGCTAGTCCTGACCATGTGGTCCCAAGGGAGCCAAACTAAGGTCACAAGATCTTTGAAGGTGAGGCGTAAGGAGGAAACTGTGTTGGGGGTTGGGAGGTTATAGTCAAGGATGACACTTTCTACAAGGGGTAACAGGGCTTCTTCAATGATGGTGAGAAAGGTTGAGCATCCATGTACATTGCATGAGGAAACAGAGTTACCAAGTTGGGTAAAAAAGGGAGTCTGCATCATGAAAGAGGTCTTGGCTGGGGACTGATACTCTAGAGGGTCTGTCCATTTAGGGAGCTCAAAAAGTGGGTCATCATCTGGTTCTAAGGGGTGGACTAGCTTGTCCCACCATGCTTGGAGTTCTTCTGTAGACTTGTCATAAGAATCACTATAGCAAGCTTCCTGTAGAGCCTCAAGGAGTTCATGAGATGAATCCTCTAGGGTTGCTATGATGGCTCTTTCATATCCCAAGTAGAGAACATTGTTGTATGGGCACAAAGGAGGATGTCTTACTGCATGAACCTTGAAAATGTAATCTCTGTAAAGGACACAACCTAAACAATTGCCAGTTCCAAAAATGTCTTCGGAGCCATCACAATTGGATCCATCTTGGAGCATAATGGGGCAGGGGAATGATTCTAGCTTGCGCTGCTGTATCTTATTGATCGTGCGAAAAGATTTTGTGAGATGCTCATAGTGTTGCCAATGTTCATTGATACATACCTTACATGTAGAGTTGGCGCCAGCAAGGGCCATACATTCAGAGCAAGGAAAAATATTCGAACTAGTGTCGACTTCCAAGTCACGCTTTTTGGAGGAGTTGCTTTTGCCTTGTCCTGCGGGTCCGGAGGAACCATGTGAGGGTGCTGCCCATGCGTTGTCGGAGCCCCAATTGTCGTAGTCCTGTTGATTGTACCAAGCATTTGGACGGGAGCGTTGAGAATAATCCTCTACTTTGGGCTGTTGCCAATATTGACATGGTTTGGATCTGGAGTCTTTGTTACCTTTGCCTTCCTGTTGAAGTCTATCAAAAATTTCACCCTTACCTTTGTATCCGGAGCCCTTGTATCCTTTTCCTTTGGGTCTGTCCTTGCCCTTGATCCATGAGGATCCTGGAGTTTCTTTTCCTTTTTCTTTACCCTTGGAGTCTCTGTTGCCTTTGCCTTTATGACCATAATCGGAGTACGACATACCAAAGTCTTGCATAGCTTGTTGTATGAGAGGCTGGATCCCGGAGAATCCCTGAACTGAAAAAGCGGGATTTTCGGTGAGCTGAGCTGATAGTGTGGAGTCCAACTCAATAGGGTAAAATATCATAGGGGAAAAATTTGACCGCATCTGAAATGGAAATGTTGGAAACATCCTTAGACTGTCCATAGTGGTACCTGAGTGTAGTAGTGGAGTGCCTTGAGGATTGAGTGTATCCCTGAACAAAAAGGAGGAAGGATTTCATCTTATCTCCAAAGATTTTGGGGAAGAACTCAACTACCATATTGAATGTGCTTGGATGGAGAAGGAGCTGGCACTGGTACTGCAAATGTTTGCTGGAAAGGTACACGACCTGGGCCAACAGGAGTTCGTTGTCTTGATCATAGAGCTGGAGGGAAGTTAGCTCAGGTTTGAGGAACTTATCCTCATAAGGGTTTTTGGAATCAGCTGTATCCTGGGTCTTGTTTAGGACCTCTATAGTGGTCATGAGTGGTACCCCATCGAGGCGTTCCTGCAATGGGAGGTCCTTCTCAATTTTTAGTTGAGCGTTCTTGGGCATCAGAGTGCCAATACCTACGCTTTTGTTTGAAAGCCTGTAAAAAGGATTTACTGGAGCTTTCTTGAAGGAATATGATTCTAAGGAAAGCGGAGGACGACGTATGCAAGTGATTACTTACGGATTGAACGTCCGAGTTGGGAGGTCAGCTTGCTTGAGGAGGTAGTTCATGTTCTGTGAAATGCTTGACATATTGGAAAATAAGAGGATGGTGTAAATGATCACTGATCTTCTTTGCTGTTCCGATTCAATCGCATTGAGGGTCTGAAAACCTAAGAAGTTGTTGAGCTCTGATCTTTCCAATCTGCTAATGACCTCTTGTCTAATGTGCTTGTTGAGGAGCTCAAAGGAGGGCTGAGTTGTTGTGTCATGATAATTCTGAGTGGTGTCTTTGATATTATCTAGGGTAACAGAATCGGCAACGTGACTGTGGGAGAGGGCTCTGGCAATGCGACATTTGTACTAGGTTGAAACGAGCCAAATGCTGTGTCTAATTTAGCCATTTTCTTAGGGGATCGGAGAGCCTTGTATGCTTGTAACATTGATGGAGTAGACTGCAACATGCGGGCGAATGAAGGGTCCATATCGCCCCATTCAATGGGTTCCGTTTCATCTTCCTCCATTTGGGAGGCTAAACCAGTCGGAATGGAGGACGAAGCTACTCTCTTCATATTTTGTTTGAGAAAAGTTTGATAGAGCATATCTGAGATTCTTTCCTGGGTGCCTGAGGTGGTAACGTAAATCTTTCTATCAGAAAACTTTTCTACTTTTGAATCAGGTCCAAGGAGTATGGTGTCAACTACAGTGGGGGCGTCTGGCTTACTGATCTGTTGAGAAGCCTCAGCTTTTGCTGTCAAGAGCCCCGGAGGATCACCAGAGGAAGGAGCTGCGTCAGTAGGCGCAGTGTTCGCCGAAGTCGGCGGCTCGGCTTTGGCAGCATCGGCTTCCATGCCGGCGCGAGAGCTATGTGTCTTAAGTCCTATAATGTGGAAGCAACACCGTGATAAAATGAGAAGAAAGTAGCAAAAGACAGTGAAACCCTTATAGGCCTGCAATGCTGGAAGAAAGTGTTCAATCAAGTGATAGGCTCAGAAGGCGAAGCAAAAGGGATCGGCTACCGCTCTGAGCCTAAATCCGACCATTACTGACACAATTCATGCGGCGCTTTGGGGCTTGGCTATTTCTTTTGCGCTTGGCCTGTCAAGGTAGCGCAGCAGCCAAGTGCTAGAGATATAGAAAAGACAAGATAGCAGAAGGCTAACCTTAGAAGCACCATCGTCCCAATCCTGCCACGATCCCGATGATTGCCGCAGCTTTGTCCTTGACACGATGCATGGACTGATCACATCAGCATTCTGGAAGCTGCAGCTGCCTTGCCAAGACGGTGGCAAGCGCTGGCCCCTGAAATCTGATCTTTAGTTTTCGCAGCTTTGTGTGAGTGTTTCCATCTGAGCCCGCAGCTGCCAGCACAGCTACAATGACTGTACGGAATGCCATCATCATGGCTGCATCCTTCCCCCCCAGCACAGGAGGAAACTGTCTTGAAGTGGCTTCCCATGGTCCCAGTAAGCTCTGCGGCAGGAAATTGAAGCCAACGCCTGAGTCCAACACCCCGATACGGAGGCCAGCCAAGTGGCAACTGGCACTCTCGAGCCAGCTGGCACGGCACGCAGCTGGTATTCAGAGCTCTAGACCAGCGTGCAGAAACGATTCAGGCAGCGCTCATCCGGCAGCTGGGGAACATGCTCTCGGCAGCCCTTGCCCTTTTTCAGTCTCGTGTGACAACAGTCGCAGATGAGACCGTGTTCGCGTAGTCGTCTTCAGCTCACACGAGCACTGGTTGGTAAACTTTGTAGCAATAAATGTGTAAGCATAAGAAGGGTGTGCATGCCTCACATCGTGGCTGTTCCGAAGCATGCTGGTGATGACGAACCCAATGCCAAGCCCCAGTTTTTGGGGTAGGAACACGGTGCTGCTACCCTGGCATTTGCCTAAATGCTGAAGACCTAAGTTCTCACCAAGCGCCTCCGCAACCGCCACCGCAACCGCAACCGCTCCCCCACTGGCCTCCTTGCGGCATTTGTGTGCTACCGTGCTACCTCTCTTCTTTCGGCAAGATTGCTGGCCCACGTGCCTCCCCAATGCCCACCCGTGGGCGCACCTGCAGAAACACTCTGAGCACCAAACAACAATCTTGCACAGCAACATTGCAAAGCACCATGGCCTGGCAGCCCTGGTGGCCCTGGCGGCCTGGGCGGTGGTGGCACCTCAGCTGAGCAGTCAAGAAAAGCATTGTCCAAGCCAACTTCAAACCGAGCTAAGCTGCAACCACTGGAGCTGCTGGAGCGGGCGGAGGTGGATTTACAGGGGACCCTTCGGGCGGCCCGGTTGGAATCAGCCTGCAATGCTGCAAAGCTGCAAAGCCAGGCAAGCAGCTGGGCAGTCCTAAGGGCTAGACCCGTGCTTCACAGCTTCTGCTGCAGCTCTCGCCTGAGGCTCTGAAGCTGGACATGCAAACATGCTGACATCTGTCGCGAGGAGCATGGAAAAGCTCTGGGGGGGCGACTCTGGCGATGGACTCTGACAGCGTGGCTGGGAAGCTGCTGGGCTGATGCCTGCACTCACTGAACTCACTGCACTGATTCGGGATATCGGGATGACAAAAGGCCCTGGGCTTCTTAACCTAAAACTTCCTGAGTCTCGTACGCAGGCACAGATACTGGCCCATGCGACACTCCACCACCGCCCGCCCTATTCGAGTCAACAACTTGCAAATCCTTCGAAGCTGATCAAGCAGATCCAAACTCTGCATGTCCAGGTGTAAGCGGCCAGCATGCTTCCTGGCGTTTTGGTCGGAACCATGTTCTTTTGCAGTTCTGCCTGGACAGCTGCACTGCTCGATCCATAGCCACCACCCAAGGACAGTGAAAAGGCCTCGATGAGCGATTTGGCAATGGACACTGCCTCCTTCGTCACATTGTTAAATCAGTGCACAAAGCTCGGACCGCACCAAATATCAAAAAGTCCAGCGTCAGAACTGTAGAACTCGCAGCACGCAAGGACATGCACTGTCCTGGCTGCCAGTCAGTCGAACTTTGCAGCGTGCACCAGACTTGTCAATGTCGATGCGGGCCTGAGAAAAAGCTGAGCTGCACAAGCCTGCAACACCCCTGCAACTGCTTCCCATTTAAAAATGATGCTACAGCCCTGTGCATCTTGGCAAGCTTCTGAAGGCAGCAACTGCAGGAGATCACTGTGGGCAGTGCCCCGCTGGTCTCTTGAAACTGGCGGATGCGTGAACCTCGGCAGGCACAGCAAAATCCACCCATAGTATCTTCAGTGAATAACTTTCGTGGCTTTTCACGCCACGGTGACAGAATGGCTCCCAAACCCGCGCCTTGCGCACCAATCAGGGCACCGGAAACCGTCTTCGGCAAGTCCATGTACTCAGATGCTTCGTCCTGAATCTGCTGACAATCTGTAAGCCTGTCTCCTGCTACGTCATTGACAATTACTAGCCTCCAGCTGCATCGCTATTGTCAGCAGGACCTTCTTCGCACCTCAGGTACTCGGGGACTAGTGACCGATCGCATCCAAGATGCTTGAAAATGTACTTAGCAAGTCCCATACGGTCAACGTTGTCTGCCTCGCCCTGCGACAAAGGCACTTGCTGCGTCTTCTTGATCTATATCACAACGTTGTCCGATTCTGCACTCTGATGAACAGCCGTCTCGGCTCTGTATCACCTTGCCCTCGCCTTGATGTAGCACTTGCACGGGTCTGTCTCAAAGTCAACGTCGATTTTGGTTCCAGTCTGCGCCTGCACCTCATTCACCTGTGCCTGGGGTGGGCCAAAACTGCAGAGCCGACATTGTACTGAGAAGCAAAATCTAAGCACGGCACTCCTTTGAGCCCAATGACCATGCCTATCCTTTGCAGTCAGCCGGATGGGTATGCTGTTGAAACTAGAACTCGCCTATGCTCACCCATCATGGGCCCGGACTTTGAGCGCGGAATTTCCACGTAATGTGAACTCAAATGTTTCTGCCTGGGCAGCACATGCATCGTGGACTTTTTGGATCAGACCCTTGGAGCATGGCTTGGTTTGATCAATGAGCTCCAGGATAAGCTCCTTGGCCTGCGTGAGACAAGATGTGGGCAAGGCTGCTCAGTTTTCGAAGAATCGAAGAATCATCCGCAAACCTTCTTGACTGCTTCTGCTGTGCCGGCCACTTTGACCTGCCATCAAGAAGTGCATCTGTTTGCAAAGCAAGTATCCAAGCCAGCAGCACCATGCAAGGATCAGAAGTCTGATCTCTGGCATCCACCTTGAAAGCCCCACTCCTCAGGACAGACACTTCTACTTGATGTCATCGCTTCAATTCAACTTCGAGCGGCTTACTTTTCTCGGATCTCGATGATGGTAGCTGCCTGCTTCCCAATCACCTCGCAACAACATTTGACAGCCAACAAAGAGCAAAGAGCAACAGACACTGAAGCAAAGCTGTTCACAAGAGCCTTCAGCGAAGAAACAGACTGAAAACCTATGCTTGCCGCAACTTCAACGCCGCTCCATTTAAGCCAGCACCTTCCCAAGAAGAGCTTTCGGAACCGGGACCTCATCCTGATAGCAGCCGGGAAAGCCAAAAGCATAGCAAATCCAAAGCTTCAAGGGATAATGCATTGATTGCAGAAACGCTCCTCTACAGAAGGTTCCAGGAAAATTGGCACGTCCTACAACATGGAGACACTCCGCGTGTGCCATTTGCCAGGCGATGCCAAGCCTCTGCCGGACCTGACTTCTCATCATCCTGCAAGCGCGCATGGAAGCATTAGGAAAGGCCTCTGCAAACACTCACATTTCAATCCAAGGTCCTCCCTCTCTGCCACTGCCCAACCTGGAGCAGCAAGTTTCTGCTTTCAGGCACTTAAGGTTGGGATGTTGCTCGAATTGTACAGCCTCTGAGCAGGCACCTGACCTAACTAGTGGAAGGAAGGAAGGAAGGAAGGAAGGAGTCATGCCTGTATCTCCGCCGCCAAAAGATCCCATGCTGCCTGAGCAACTGTGCAACAGAAAAGTAGATCAGGAAAGAAGACATCCACTCTGCATTGATATCTTCCTAAAAAGTCACTGCTTAAATCAGTGCTTGAACAGCGCTGTACAAGCTTCACTCCAAACACATGCTCTACAATCTGGGTCGATAGCCGCTTTCCGGTGGAGGGCCTAGCAGGATGCCAAACTTGCAGCAACTTGCTCTGGGTAGCAAATGCACCTTTCAAACTGCGCTGGAAGCACATCACTTTGTCTAATCATCCACCCTGAACTATTTCAAGGTCGCCTGGCCAGCCAGGCGCGGGGTGCGGCCTGAAAAACACGGCGACGCACAGGCCCATCCAAGGGCACAACAAGATTCCGAGAGCTGAGTGAAACACATACCTGGCCCCCACTGGTTCCAGGCCATAGGATGACCTGTTTGTTGCACTGAGCATGAGTCTTGTCGCTTATTGACTGCATTGAAAAAGAACCAGTGCTGTTGTGAAATTGGTACTCCACCGACATAAAAGCAATGACAGAAGCTAGCGACTGTATTTTTCTTTGGGCTTGCTTTGGGCTTCGTGTTGCATCTATTTCATGAAAGATGTTGCTCGCACATTGCGCATTGCTGGCCTCCTGGGGCTGGCCAGCCTGCCGCACTCCCTGCAATGCTATTTTGCACTGAGAAGCATCAAAAGGTGCAACAGAACCTGCAGAGATGCTGATTTCGAGGCAGCATCACTGCATACCCACATGCCTTGTGAAGGGGGTGGCCCAGTCTGGCCAGAGCCACTCTGCCAGGACTTCCACATCTCGGCCCACTGCGCAGCTGCCTCGGCAAAATCAAATTGGCCACCTGATTCCTAAGCGTGACTCGTACATAAAGCTCCGGCATCATTTTCTGAGGAGGAAGATGACCTCAAGCAGCCCAGCGCGCCACGTGTAGGGCTCATGGCAGGGATCAACTTTTTGCTGCTGTGCAGCGACGAAGAAGAACTGTGCCCGGCTCCTTGGTTTGCTTCTGCGTGCTGAAGCCGCCAGCATGGAAGGGTAAGTTTGGCACGCTTCTTTTTCTTCTTCTTCTTTTTCTTTTTGTCGTCCTTCAGCCAGCCCCGTGCCGGCAAGCGCCAAACAAGATGGATGAATTACATACGTGTTGGTGCAAACGTGACTTGAAGGCAACGAGCAAAGAGGTCAAAAGCAAACGCCCGAGTCTACCAGCAAAAAGTGGAGGATACGGCCAGCGGTACTAAAGGGACCGGACATATGAAAAGCTTATGAGAAACGCGGCTCCCTGTGTGCTTACTAGTAAGCGATACCCTGCTTGCAGATTGATTGCTATCTTGGCCGTCCTCTGCTGCAGCCTGTTGCGCATGCTGCGCCTGAGGCTTAGGACGAGACACGTTTTTGGATGCTACTTTCAAGCGACTCAGACCCAAGCATAATCCCAATAACTCGCTGCCGCAGCAGCATACGCGCCCTCAGCTCTAAAGGGACAAGCTTGGTCGACATAAGATGATGCAATCTAGAATTTGCTTTACTGGCGTTTGTGCGAACAACATTCAAGTGCATGGCATAGCCGGCGTAGGGACCCCAGGCTGCAGCAGCGCCTGCCACGGAGCTGCAGAAACATCTTGGCCGAATCACGAAACATATTTTGCCAGCCGAGCTGGCCTCCAAGTTCGTCTACTCGGTCATCATCTCGGCCGTCCTTCTCTTTTCGCCGCCGACCTTTGGAACCCCCTTGTATCCTAGAACAATGATCTGCGCTAATTTCACATTTCATGGAGGGCGCTAAGTCACCAAGACCCCTGCGGCCCCCACCTGCTGCCAACAATAGAAACGAGCAGGTGATGTGTTGTGGAAAGCAGTTGAATTTTGGAGCAGGGCTGCCTTCACCGTGCCTTGCACTGCGGGACCGGTGACCTCGATGGTGATCATCACCCCGACCTTCAAACTGAATGACCCGGACCTGGATGAGAGCAAAGTGCATGCATCGCCTCCCGAACGAACTCGTCTTCCACGGGATCTGCTCCGTGCAGAGTACATTTCGGAAGGCACCAGAAATCGTGTGTTGAATAATGTCGTGGCATACATGGTCTTCATGATTCGAAAGCTTTGACTGCCTGGAAGAGGTAAATACCAACAACAGCATGTCACACATTGTGTCCTATCACGGCCAGACCATCTGTGTGTGTGGGGCTGCTTTGGTTGGGTGATTTGAAGTTGGTAAGCTTGAGGTGCGCAGGGTGCACAAGCTGAAGCGTTGCAGTCTACAAACTATGCATGTCATGATTTTGAAGCAGGGCTCGCCACGTCATCCTACGTTGAGCACACAGCAGCAACTGATGGGACAGGCGCGCGACGTGTTGTTGAAATTGCGCACAGGCTTCTACCAAGCGCTATCGTTCCATAATTACACCATTACACAAGACGCAGAACCCCTTCAATTCCTATTGTGCAACATGTGAAGAACTGTTTCTCTGAATTTTTTCCAGAGTCTGCACACTGCACAGGAGACGCTTCACCGCGATTTGAAACGAGCAGGCTCTGGCAAAATTTAGCCCAAGCCCCGCCCACGAGAGTAGAGCTGCTTTTGCATACCCTGCCAGTACTGGCGCTCCAACTCCTGCAGGAGTTCTGCCATCGCTCAAAAACTGTTCTTAGCAGCCTTCAAAACCTCCACCTGTGCAAAGTCTCCCTGTGGCTGCCCAGGCCTGCTCCGCTTGGCCTTTCACTGCCTATGCCAAAGCCATGATTGAAAAATCTCCAAATTGCAAGCCTCCGCTTGCCTTGTTTGATTCCACGCTGGGTTTTTTGTCCTCGGCATGCGAAGCTATGTCCCTTCTGCGTCGAATCCAATTGCTCCAGTTGGCAGTCCTTGTCGGCTCCCATCAGGCGTAGAAATTTGGCTTTTTCAGACGAGGAATCGAAAGAACTCTGCTCCCATGACGTCCTGCCAAAAAAGTCGGGTGTGTACTGCACAAGCGTGCAGACACGGCAATTGCCATCCGCAGTATTGCTACATGCAGTCTCAAAATCAACGCCTGGCCCAGGCACTCTCTTTGGGTGCCACAACCAAGCTATTGGGCTCTTCATCCGAAGTTCCAGAAGCCTTGCTGACAAGTTTGCACCGGTTTGGGATCTTGCCGAACATGACAACTCCAGCACGCTCAGCTTGCCTCTGCGTTTGTGTCTGGCTTTGGCTCGTCGTGCTTCGGAGCTGAAAATAATGCCTATCATCAAGCATGTTTCCTAAGAGGGAGATGTCCTTCTTCCAAAACGTAGGTTCTCTGGAATCGTCATCGAAGGATCGTTGCAGCACGCAGTGCTTTACAGCATTTGATGTTCACGTTTGTTTGAATTCTTTGGTAATTCGTTTGTTCTCGATTGCAGTTAGTTGATGCTGGTAAGATCACTCTCCGCCAAATCATTAACATGGTCTTGTTGCCTCCCTTGACGTCTCCCTTGACTCTTATTCCAGTCTACTGCCAAGATCATGCAATCAACACGTGGAACTTGGAAAAAAATTCTGCCTATTGATACGTGTACATCACAGAAAGCTGGCCGCCTTGCGCTTTTCACGTACTTGCCTGCGCTTCTCCTCTCCTGCGGCCCGGTTGGGGCTCCTGTGAAGAAACAATTTTTACCATTCAAGCAAAAAGCACCCACAATAAAACTCAACGAAACATTGTACCGCAACTACCCAAGTAAAAATGTTCCTTGAACGTGCCCGGCGCTGTCGGGCTTCCGAACCATAATTGAAGGCAATGCCTTGTTGCTTGTTCCTGCAGCGGGCAGTAGTGCATCACGTCAACATTAGGAAGATTGATTCATGTTTCCGTCCTGTCGGTCCAATCTTCTGTGGAGCTCATGAGCGCGAAGGTAAAGGTCGCAACTCGAATGCAACTCATATGCACCATTTGTATTATGTACAAAAAATGCCACCATTGCATCGGGAAACACCGAACGCCCGGTACTTTATTTATAGAAACTACAACATATCTGTGTGATGCACAGTGGGTGCTATTTGCCGTCAAATTGTTTACCAATGGCCACTTGAACACAATGGGGCAAACAAATCAGACCCCTCGGGCCCTAAGCAAAATTCTACCAAAAACTGCCAATCAAAGTGCGAAATTTACTCCCAAACACCATATTGGCCAAACAAACTGCTGACCCTTGCACATGACAATCCCCAACATCAGAACATCGCTCAACTTAGAAATGGTAGCCTTGCCTGTATCGTCCGACTCCGAAATGCAGGTGTAACAAAGCATCAACTGTTGCCTTTTGTGCGTCTGTATAGAACAACCCTTCGCCACGAGAATCCTGCATTCTCGGTTCAGTTAGCATGCTAGAACCCCAAAAAACGCAATTGCGCAGGAAATTTGCTACCTGCCAAGCAAACCAGCACAACAAGTCACAAACACACACAAAGAATGTGAGAACAACTGACTGTAGACCTGTGCGATTGCCAAGGCAATCAATATCATACCCATCTCCGGATCAAAAAGTCTTTCATACGGGAATCGCGCCACCAAGTTTGCAACCGCTAACAAAAGTATTTCATTTCAAACCATGGCATCTCAACGACGTGTGCCGGGAATCAAAACAGCTAGCAATGCACACGCCCTGATTTAAGGACCCCTGAACCAAACTGCATACCAATATACCCTACAGCCATCCTATCCACATGTCCTATAATTGTTCTATCCAGCAACCCTGTAACCATCTTTTTAAGCGAGCATATTTCCGTTCACAACAAAAAACCCTAACAATGAATACTAGCAACCCCCCACCTCACCAAAACAACTTAACTTCAAAACGTTGCAGCGCGTATGCGTGTGGTAGGTTGGTTGT